TGCTCATTCCCATATTGACTATGTAATGCGCTGTACGTGGGGCTGCCCTGGAAGAATATCTGGCAGCTTCCGCTGGTGCAAAATTCGGCAGGTTGGGCAATGGGGCTGAGGGGGCCACTTGGTCTTCCAGAGACATTTCTGCTGACCTGCAGGGCGACTCTGTCCCTTGTCCTCTGCCTGGATTGCCGAGGGGGGAAGGCATCTGTGTCTTCCTGGACCACAGCTGCTCCCTTACGGCCCCCTCCCCCACTCTCTGTGGCAGATGTATGACTACAGCCTTGACATGTGGAGCCTGGGCTGCCTGTTGGCCAGCATGGTCTTCCGCAAGGAGCCTTTTTTCCACGGCCACGACAACTACGACCAGGTGAGGCCCCTCTCGGCTGGGACGGGCTCTGGCACCCCGCCTCCAGTGCCAGGGCTCGGTACTTTCTCCACCCCCGTCTAACATCGCCACGAAGCTGCCAGGTGAGCTCGTCCAACGGCATGGGGTGGGGTTCCACCAGTACGCGGAGGACACCCAGGTCTACATCCCCGCCCCTGGCCAACTAAGTGATGCGGTGGAGGTCCTGCCTCCGTGTCTGGAGGCTGCGGGGGGTTGGATGGGAAACCGCAGGCCAGGCGGAGTGTTTCGGGGGACTTTCCGTCTCTTGTTCTGGATGGGGTCGCCCTGCCCCAAACAGAACCTATGTGCCGTGTGGGGGTCCTCCTGAGCTCAGGCTTCTGTTCAAGGAAGTGGTGGCAGCCATGGGCAGCAGGGTCTTTGCGCAACTTCGTTTTGCGTGCCATTCGTGCCCGTTCCTGGACGGGGGGCTCTGCTCATGCTCACTCATGCCTTGCTCACTTCCTGAACGGAGTACTGCAATGTACCCTATGCGGGACTGCCCTTGAAGAGCATTCGGAAGATGCAGCTGGTGCAGAATGCAGCTGTGTGGGCAGCCATGCGTGCTCCTCAATCAGCATACATTATTCCTCTGCTCTGTGAGCTGCACTGGTTCCCAGTATGCTTCCAGATTCAATTCACAGTGCTGGTGATGACCTATAAAGCCCCACATGGCATGGGGCTGGGTTATTTGAGTGCTGCCTCTCCCTGATTCCATCAACCAGTCCCATGAGTTCCAGCAGAAGCAGCACGCTCGGGGTCACGTGTGCGGGGGAATGTCTTTTCTTCATGGCCCCTGCCCTGTGGAACATCACCGCCCCGAGATCACATTGGCCCCAATTCTACTAGCCTTTGGTGTAGCCTTCAAGACATGGTTTTGCCACTAGATTTGGGAATCTGTACGTGATAGAAGCTGCAGAGTGGTTACGCTGCTTGTTGTTGGTGTTCTTTTTATACCTTGGCTGCTGATTGTGTAGTGTGGTTTTTACATGGTTTTACACACGATTTTTATTTTGCACCGTGTTTCTTATCTCGTTTCCAATTGTTGTAAACCGCCCAGAGTCATGTACTTGAGGTGGGCGGCTGCAGACATTGAAATAATCGCTAAATAAAACTGGGAGGCTCCATCTCTCAGTGCCACATTCCCCATAAAATGTTCTGCTGCTGGGCTGTGACTGAATGGCCCCTTCCCACGATTTGGTCCTCTCCCAGTTGGTGCGGATTGCCAAGGTGTTGGGCACAGAGGACCTCTATGACTATATCGACAAGTACAATGTGGAACTGGACCCCCGCTTCAACGACATCCTGGGCAGGTGAGCAGGGCCCCCTCCTGTCCTGGCATCAAGAAATGCTTCCTAGTGGTGGGTTATGAGTAAAGGACTTCCAGGGTGTGAAAAGCAGCACTGGAAATCTCCCCTTGTCTCTGGGGCAGGCATTCCCGCAAGCGATGGGAGCGCTTTGTGCACAGTGAGAACCAGCACTTGGTGAGCACCGAGGCGCTGGACTTCCTGGACAAACTGCTGCGCTACGACCACCAGACTCGGCTGACAGCCCGCGAGGCGATGGAGCACCCGTACTTCTGTGGGTAGCCTTGCCAGGGTTCCCCCCCATACACCACCCCCTTGGATGGGCTGCCCCTGTAGGCGGAGCTCCGCCACGCCCTTTCGGCTGACTTTCCTTCCTGCAGAGGCTTCTTGGGGTGCAGCACCATCAAGAGGCTCTTCTGCTCAGCTCTCCTGGGCCTTCTCTGCCGAGGCTGCTCCCGTCCCCCCTGCCCCGCCCCGATGTCCACTAAAATCCAGGATTGTCCTGCCACTTGGGCTCCGCTCTCCCCTTCTGGGTGCTGAGGAGGGAGAAGTCTTCCTGCATCACGGCTCCTTCTCTCTCCCTGCACAGATCCAATTGTGAAGGATCCAGCCAGGCTGGCATCCTCCGCAGTCCTCTCATCAGCTAACACGCCTGTCAGCTCCTCCAGCATGTTGGCAGGTAGTACCTAAGCCTTAGCGTGGTGGGGAGGGGCATGCCAGCCGGAGCACGGGGTGGTCTCGCTCTGGCTGCCGCTGTATGTCACCCAGGGAGGGCGGCCTGGATGAGGGCGGATGAGGCCCTGGCTTCCCGTGCAGTCCCTTGATTCCCCTTTCCCTTCCTCTTCCCCACATGCAGGGATCGCCTCCATGTCTGCCTCTCAGCCGATCGGTGGCTTGGCTGCCTCCCCCGTCATCTCCTCTCCAAACGCGCTGGGTTCGCCAGTCCCTGCTGCCGCCGGAGCTCAGCCTTGACCACCAGACAGCCAGCTCTGGCTCTGAGCACCGCCAAGGCCACAGCCTTGCCCTCCTTCTCCTCACCCCCCCTGCCCACCTCTGCATGGCGCTATTGCCCGCCCAGGGTGGGCAGGAGGATGGACAGGCAGGGGTGGGGTGAGGTGGAGGGGGGTCTGCCTCTGGAATCCGATTTTTTTGTTTGTTTCTGTTGAGTATGTCAAGGAGCCAAGTCCAGGCTGCTGCTGCTGCTGCTGCTGCTGCTGCTGCTGCTGCTGCTGCTCTTCCTCCTTCTCTTGATGCGGCAACAAACGCAGACTCTTTTTCCAGGCAGAGGCTTCTCTGTGGTTTGTGTCGAGTCACGTGAGCTGCATTCTTCCCACGAGGGTCGTGGTTAGTGATGCAACTACCATGTAGACACCTGAACGGAGAATAAAATTTATTTTCTATGTCCCTAAAAGGGCAGGTGTTGGGCCCCAGCTTCTTCCTGTTGGAGATGCCGTAGCAGTCAGGGCTGAACGCTTTGAGGAGATGCTTTTGGGGGGGGGCCAAGACAACGGTGCTAGAGTTGGAGGAGGGTTCCTTTTTCACTCTGGAGATGTCCACGGGATGCCTCTGGGGATCGGTGGGACCTTCTGGAGCTGGCTGAGCCCTTCCCATGACTGACAGCTGAGGAGAAGCATAAGGAGGCGTCGGGCCCAGCCCAAGAACGACAGGAAACAGTCCAGTTGCGTTCGGTCCCTTTGTCTGCTTCCACCATGTAGGCGGAATCTTGCCAGACTCATCTGTGCCACTGCAAGTCGTGGGTATAGCCTGGGAGATTCCAGGGAGGGGCTCTCCTGAACCTCACACCTCCCACGCCCCAGCTCCGGACTGCGTGGTCTCTTGCCTCCTTTCTCCTCCGGGAATGCCCCCTCCTTCCTGATAGCCTTGCTCTCTGCTGCAGTCCACCACAGGAGGTGGCCCCTTTCTGGTCCTCCAGCTGGAAGCTGCGGGAAGGGTACCCAGGCAGGGAGGCGAGGATCCCTGAGGGTGCCAGCCCTGCAGCTCGAAGGTCATAAAGCTGGGGAGGAACATGCACCCCCTCAGGCCGTCTTGGCGGCCCAGCCAAGTGCTCAGTCTGCCCCTTCGTCAGGAGCAGGAGGCAGGTGGTGCTGCAACCAGGCTGCTGCTGCTGCCCACGGCGGTGCTTCCCTGCAGCCTGCATGGTCAGAGAACCTCCCCAGCCCTCCCCCTTTGCGCTTCCGCAGCACCAGGCTCTCCTAGATGGCCAGAAAGCCCCCAGAGCAGCTCCCCGCCTCCCTCCCACCCTTCTGTCAGTGGCATAACAGGTAGCCATACTTGGGAGCCCACCCTCCCCAGAGCCCTCCTAGATGCCAGCTCTGCCAGGGTTCCAGCCTGATGCCCTCTGAGGGCTCAGGACGCCGCTCTTGCGATCGCCAGTGGGCACCCAAGGGAACGAAGCCATTCCAGCCCTCCTTAGCGCTCCACTTCTGGGTGACATTCTCCTCAGTCATTTATAGGGTCCCCAGTGGTCACTGTGGGGGTGCGGAAGTTGTCTCCCCTCAGCCCAGGGATAGCAGGATGGTGCTGCGAGCGCCTCTCAGCCGCCAGGGAGGAAGCGGGCGGGTTAAGAGCTGTGCTCTGGGTGTTCCTTTCTTGCAAGCCAGCAGGCTCGGCAGAGCTGTACCTGCCTTGCTGGCCCGCTCAGCCCGCTCCAGAGTAATGACGCTGGCTTTCTGGTCGCAAGAGTGGAACCTGATTGCTTTCTCTGTTGCCTCCCCTTCAGTTGTCAACTGGGGGGATCTGGACAGTGACAAATGGGGAGGCTGACCTGGAAAGAGACAAGGCGCAGGCAGACTTGCAAGGAGGGGGGTCTGCAGAAGGTTGGGCGCCACAACTGAAAAGTGCGCTCGCTCTCGTTGCCACTTCCGTATCTCCTGGTGTAGGGCATCCGCCCCGTGTGCTGTCAGAGTCCTGCCAGGACTTCTGGAGCTGACCACCATAGATGCACATGGAGGCTTAATTCATAGGCTCGTGGGCTGGTTCACACGGTAGTCCCTGAGCCTCTCATCAGAACACAAGAGCTGGGTTCCCGTAACATGCTGTTCCCAAACAAATCAGGATATTTACTGATCTATAAGCTGCTGTACCCCACTTTGTGGTGCAGACCCAGAGTTCCTTGTGCAGTCGGAAGGGGCCCTGCTCAGTACAGGAATCCAACAGACCTGCTCCATCTTCGATGGCACCAGCTAGAAACCAGCAGACCGTGCGTTCTGGTCCCGCCTAGGCACAAAGCCAGCTGGGTGTCTGTGGGCCAGTCCTTTTCTCTCAGCCCTGGGAAGGACTGAGGCAAACCACCTCTGAAATCTTGCCAAGAAAACTGCAGGGACCCGCAGAGCCTTCCTGCGCAGGAAGTTGAGGGTGGTGCAGTCTCAAAC